CTGATGATCTATTTAACATATCAGCTAACCACATATGCAGTGCTTTCGGGAAGTATTCAGACCCCTTGACTTTTTCCCCACATTTTGTTACGTTACAGCCTTATTCTAAAATTGATTAAAAAATAAAATAAATCCTCATCAATCTACACACAATACCCCATAATGACAAAGCAAAAACAGGTTTTTAGAAATGTTTGCAAAGTTATAAAAAAAAGAGAATAAAAAAAAAAAAAGGATCACATTTAGTATTCAGACCCTTTACTCAGTTTATTGTTGAAGCACCTTTGACAGCGATTACAGCCTTGAGTCTTCTTGGGTATGACGCTACAAGCTTGGCACACCTGTATTTGGGGAGTTTCTCCCAATCTTCTCTGCAGATCCTCTCAAGCTCTGTCAGGTTGGATGTGGAGCATCGCTGCACAGCTATTCTCAGGTCTCTCCAGAGATGTTCGATCGGGTTCAAGTCCGGGCTCTGGCTGGGCCACTCAAGGACATTCAAAGACTTGTCCCGAAGCCACTCCTGCGTTGTCTTGACTGTGTGCTTAGGGTCGTTGTCCTGTTGGAAGGTGAACCTTCGCCCCAGTCTGAGGTCCTGAGCGCTCTGGAGCAGGTTTTCATCAAGGTTCTCTCTGTACTTTGCTCCGTCAATCTTTGCCTCGATCCTGACTAGTCTCCCAGTCCCTGCCGCTGGAAAACATTCCCACAGCATGATGCTGCCACCACCATGCTTCACCGTAGGGATGGTGCCAGGTTTCCTCCAGACATGACGCTTGACATTCAGACCAAAGAGTTCAATATTGGTTTCATCAGACCAGAGAATCTTGTTTCTCATGGTCTGAGAGTACTTTAGGTGCCTTTTGGCAAACTCCAAGCGTGCTGTCATGTGCCTTTTACTGAGGAGTGGCTTCCGTCTGGCCACTCTACCATAAAGGCCTGAGTGGTCCTCTGTAGCTCAATTGGTAGAGCATGGCGCTTGTAACGCCAAGATAGTGAGTTCGATCCCCAGGACCACCCATACGTAAAAATGTATGCACACATGACTGTAAGTCGCTTTGGATAAAAGAGTCTGCTAAATGGCTTATTATTATTATTATTATTATTATTGGTGGAGTGCTGCAGAGGTGGTTGTCCTTCTGGAAGGTTCTCCCATCTCCACAGAGGAACTCTGGAGCTCTGTCAGAGTGACCATCGGGTTCTTGGTCACCTCTCTGACCGAGGCCCTTCTCCTCCGATTGCTCAGTTTGGCCGGGCGGCCAGCTCTAGGAAGAGTCTTGGTGGTTCCAAACTTCTTCCATTTAAGAATGATGGAGACCACTGTGTTCTTGGGGACCTTCAATGCTGCAGACATGTTTTGGTACCCTTCCCCAGATCTGTGCCTCAACACAATCCTGTCTCGGAGCTCTACAGACAATTCCTTCGACCTCATGGCTTGGTTTTTGCTCTGACATGCACTGTCAACTGTGGGACCTTATATAGAAAGGTGTGTGCCTTTCCAAATCATGTCCAATCAATTGAAGTTACCACAGGTGGACTCCAATCAAGTTGTAGAAACATCAAGGATGATCAATGGAAACAGGATGCACCTGAGCTCAATGTCGAATCTCATAGCAAAGGGTCTGAATACTTATGTAAATAAGGTATTTGTCTTATTTACAAAAAATTTCTAAAAATCTGTTTTCTCTTGGTCATTATGGGGTATTGTGTAGATTGATGAGGAAAAACATGTATTTAATCCTTTTTAGAATAAGGCTGTAACGTAACAAAATGTGGAAAAAGGGAAGGGGTCTGAATACTTTCCGAATGCACTGTATAGTAATCTGATCCATTTTAACAGATCAGCTAACCACATCATATGATATAGCCATCTGATGCCTGACCGACGTGGTACGCAACGCCTAAGCAGTTGGGCAGGAAGTCGACCGTTACTGTTGTCCCTGTCTTATCCAGCTATATGACGACAGGACAACGTTGTTATGCGTCTCTTTTTAAAACCGACAAACTAACTTTCCGTTGAGGGATGCTAGTGAACCACTACTATGAAACTAGTCCTTCTCCTATAGAGAAAAAAAACCACCAGGGCAAGCAGCTTATTATTTCCCAAATGTTTATTGTTGTAGCGACTGTTCCAGCAGTATAAAACAGCAGACTGACAGTGTTTATAGCACCACGGAGAACAAGACGTGAACGGACTGATACCATGCAGATAGAACCACCATGGATACAACAGACATGATCCTCTAGGCTACCTGAAAGACGATCATGTCTGTTCTACAATCCGTAGTGCCATCTGAACATCAGCAACGTGATGGTTCCTCCTGGTTGTTGTCTACATCAGGAGAGGGGGGAGAGGAAGGGGGAAGAGGAGGGAGGAAGGGGAAGGGGAGGGGGAGCGTGTGTGTTTCCCACAACCTTGTCAGAATGGCCCTCATAGGTAGTACAGTGTGTGCAGATGGTGGCTTTCCCTGGGCTGCTAGGAGACGGTGGCTTTCCCTGGGCTGCTAGGAGACGGTGGCTTTCCCTGGGCTGCTAGGAGACGGTGGCTTTCCCTGGGCTGCTAGGAGACGGTGGCTTTCCCTGGGCTGCTAGGAGACGGTGGCTTTCCCTGGGCTGCTAGGAGACGGTGAGGTCTGAAGACACCACAGGCACCATGACACTGCAGTAACATGCCCACGGCCTGGCATCGTCATGTCAATAATAGATTTAGATCATCAAGATGGTCTGTCAACATGTCAATAGTAATAGATTTAGATCATGAAGATGGTCTGTCAACATGTCAATAGTAATAGATTTAGATGATGAAGATGGTCTGTCAACATGTCAATAGTAATAGATTTAGATCATCAAGATGGTCTGTCAACATGTCAATAATAGATTTAGATCATGAAGATGGTCTGTCAACATGTCAATAATAGATTTAGATCATGAAGATGGTCTGTCAACATGTCAATAGTAATAGATTTAGATCATCAAGATGGTCTGTCAACATGTCAATAGTAATAGATTTAGATCATGAAGATGGTCTGTCAACATGTCAATAGTAATAGATTTAGATCATCAAGATGGTCTGTCAACATGTCAATAGTAATAGATTAGATCATCAAGATGGTCTGCCTGTCAATAGCATGATTAGATATCAAGTAATTGATGTTTAGATATGAGATGGTCTGTCAACATGTCAATAATAGATTTAGATCATGAAGATGGTCTGTCAACATGTCAATAATAGATTTAGATCATGAAGATGGTCTGTCAACATGTCAATAGTAATAGATTTAGATGATGAAGATGGGTGAAAGTAAACATTGCAGGCTGATGGAATAACCTAAACTCTGGGGGAGGTGATATGGGGACTATGGTTGTAGTAGGAGGGTAGTGGGATGTACAGGGTTAATCATCGCTGCATGGGATCCATAGTGCACCAGGCAGGTATGATCTGATGTTCACACACACAACAGGCAGGTATGATCTGATGTTCACACACACACAGGCAGGTATGATCTGACGTTCACACACACACAACAGGCAGGTATGATCTGATGTTCATACACACAAAACAGGCAGGTATGATCTGATGTTCACACACACACAGGCAGGTATGATCTGATGTTCATACACACACAACAGGCAGGTATGATCTGATGTTCATACACACACAACAGGCAGGTATGATCTGATGTTCACACACAACAGGCAGGTATGATCTGATGTTCTACACACAACAGGCAGGTATGATCTGATGTTCATACACACACAACAGGCAGGTATGATCTGACGTTCACATGTTCATTTAATTAATGCTCTGGGTGAAACCTAAGAAACAAAACAGACAGAAAAGCCCAACAACAACAACAACATTGTTTTAAAAGACAAAAGGCCAGGATTAAAGGCAATGTTTACCCGTTCGCAAGAGATCACATTCATGTTTCAATCGTCAATGACCTTTTTAAATGTCAACTAGAACGTGGTTCCGGGTGGAAAAAGGAAGACGTTCTCCGCTCTAGAACCACTGCATCACCTCACGTCGTCTTCACCACGTAACGGTCCGAAGTAGTGCACTACACAGGGGATAGGGTGTCCTTAGGGACACTACACAGGGGATAGGGTGTCCTTAGGGACACTACACAGGGGATAGGGTGTCCTTAGAGATGGGCCTGTAGCCTCTGGACAGGGGGGGGGGGGCTGGTACTTCAGAGTCAGATGTTTAGTCCCAAATGGCACCCTATTCCCTATATAGTGCACTACTGCTGACCAGAGCGGCTCTGGTGAAAAGTAGTCTCGCCGTAGAGGTGTAAACTCATTCCACGGAGGGCCCTAGCGTCTGCTGGTTTTGGTTCATCCTTTCAATTCAGACCTAGACAACCAGGTGAGGGGAGTTCCTTACTAAGACCTAGACAACCAGGTGAGGAGAGTTCCTCACTAATTAGTGACCTTAATTCATCAATTAAGTACAGGGGAGGAGTGAAAACCCGGCAGACACTCAGGCCCTCCATGGGAATGAGTTTGAAACATGATATAGGGAATAGGTTGGCCATTCGGGACGCGTCACCAACCGGTCCAGGTCCAGTCTGCTGGTTGAGCTGTTTGATCATGAGGTATGTTGTTTTTTATAGGGGGTGGGGGGGGATCATGGTGCTGCTGCTCCCGTAATGCAGATATACAACCTTCATCCTTCATACAAAAAATGTCTGCTGTGGCAGAGCAATAATAAAACCTAATTCAGGTTCTGCCACCTACACCCTGAAGTGGCCACCTACACCCTGAAGTGTGCACTTCGTTCACTCCCCCCCCCCCTCATGGATCTGAAGTGGACTAGTGTTAGTAATATGGTGGAAACTCCCTCCCATCCAAGCTGATGCTTCCACCTATCTAATATTTATAAATCCATGAGGGGAAGTGCTTACATCAGGGACGAGGAGAGAATCAGTCCCAAAAGGGCACCCTATTCCCTATATAGTGCACTACGTTTATAAGATTTTTTAATAAAAAAAATAGTACCCTATATAGGGAATAGGGTGCCCTTGGAGATGCTGCCTGGCTGAGCGTGTACTCTGCCAACGGGCCTCCAGGCCCATTAAAACAGGACTGAGGGGTTGGTAGTTATCAGACAGACAGAAGAAAAGCATGTGTCAAAGTTAAAAACAAACATTCTGTACAAACATATCCACGGTTTGGTTTTTTGTTTTTAAAGCAGGGGGGAAAACTGAACAGTTAAAAAAAAATAGTGCAACTTCAAGCTTCTTCTTGTTAAGTGAAACTTTCTCTTCTGCTACATGATGCTGAGGGACAATCTGAAGGCACCCAGTTGTTCACACCGTCGCCATGGAGACGGAGGGAGGAGCATCACCACGGTTACCATACAGTCACTCTGGAGACGGATGGGGGGGACAGTCAGGTTCCTGCAGAGAGAAAGAGGGGGAGAGAGAGAGGAATGTTTGTGATAAGCAATCATCTATAACCGTACAACGTATGCACGGCTCCAGATGAAGGATACTTCGGCATACTATTGGCTACCTGACTGTCAGAATGTATACAAAAAACAACAACAGGAAGTAAAGTCATTACCCAGTATAAAGTCGCGCCACCACGGCCCGGTCAGGCCCCTCCCACGCGATTTTCTCATTACTTTCGCCGGTGGCGGGGTTGGTGATTGGCTCGTGGCGTTCCCAGAATTGTTGCGTTTGCCTCTCCTCTTCCCGGCTCGGACCCGGTTGTGCTCCTGAACCTCCTGCGCCGAGCCGCTAGACTCCTTCCAGGGAACTCTCCTCTTCCTTCTCTCCGTTTTCCCAGCTCTGCCCTCCCCGTCCCTCCTCTCCTCCCGTCTGGTCCCGTCGGGGCAGTACGCGTCGTCTAGATTGACGGTGCAGACGTCCCACTCCTCCTCAGCGGTGGACTCTGTGTCGGGGGAGTTGATCTTCTTGAGGAACACGCAACACTCCTTCAAAGTCTCCGGACTCCAGGCTTTAGAGCTGAGACACTGCTGTTTGGTGAGGCCCGTCAGCTGGTCAGTCAGGTGGACGGGGCTGCGGGGCTGACTGGTCTCTGAGGAGGCAGGTAGACGGTGGTGATGTGGAGAACAGGTGAGCTCCTCCCTGGGCTGAGCAGAGGGCCGTACCTGGCCAGGTGAGCTGCCTACCTCCACCGGCCTCCTCCTCCTCCTCCAGACCGCCTGGCTGTACCTCAGCCTGTTGGGCCGCTTGGCTCTGAGGGTCCTGGTGAGGAACTTGTCTCTGATTCTGAGCAGAGTGGTTCTGTACATCCCGAGGGCCCGGACCTTCCTCCATGGAGCTCGGATACGCAGCCCTCCCGGCGCCGGCCTCGCAGTGAACAGACGCCGCCTGGCGTTCAGCTCGTTTCCACGTTGGAGCCGCTCCTGGGCCAGACGGAGCTGGGCGGGGCTCTTTGGCACAGCTTTGGCAAACTTCTTGATGTGTTTGCGTAGTCGCGCGGTCTGCGGGCTGGGAAAGACGCTCCCCCTGCTGGCGGCCCGTGGGTAGTGCAGGAGCTCGTAGGGGTTTCGGGAGCTAGTCTTCTTCACGATGCCCAGAGACTGAGTCTCAGTGGTCTGCATGAACCAGGAGGCCAGCCTCTCCACGCTGCAGCGCCGGTCAAACAGCATCCGCACCGCCGACCCCACCTCTGGCTTCCAGGAGGGCGAGGAGTCGTCGTCGTTGAGTCTCTGCTTGGCGGACATGGTCGTCCCCGTCCTGGTGGTGTGGGCGGTAGCGGAGGAGACCCAGCTGTGGGATATGAGGCGGATCCTGCGAGCCAGCTCCTGGTTCAGGCTGTCCTGGTCGGAGGAGACGGGCCACCACCTCAACGCCTCGCTGGAGCAGGCTGGGAAGATGGAGTCTACCGAAACCCCCGCCACATGGCTCAGGTCCTCACGCAACACCCCTCCTCTTCCCTCGCTCCTCCTCTCCTCCCTCCCAGAGAGCAGCTCCTCCTGCCCTGGGGTGTCCTCTCCTCCTCCCCCCTCCTCCTCCTCCTTCCTCCTGCGCTGGCTGCCCTTGCTGCTGGCCCTGTTGATCAGTAGCTGTCTGGATCGGCGCAGCAGGGCGGTACTGTGGCTCAGGGACCTAGAGGTGGAGGTGGCTACAGAGTGAAGCAGGTACACTGATGGCTTCCTCACCCTCACAGAGTGACGCACCGCTAACAGAGGAGGAGTCTGGATCTGTCGCTCCCGCTCTCCATCCTTGGACTTTGTCGTTCTCTCTGTCTGCATCTGAGTGGCGTCCTCGCTAGTCGGAGTGCTGCCGATTTTCCTGAGCTCTTTGGAAGGCTGGGGTTCAGGAAGGAGGGCTTTCCGCCGACAGAGCATCTCCGGAGATTTCCTGGCGGTGTCCCGGTTCATGTGGATCTTGCGTTGCCGCGGCGACACGGTGGTGACGGTAACGGAGATTCCGGAGATCTTGACCTTGGCGGGTCTCCCTGGGCGACGCATGGCCGCGGCACACTGCAGCTTCTGGCACTTGATGTTGCTGCTGCTGTTGCTGGCGAACCTCCTCTCCTTCACCGGTCTGACGAAGTTTAGATCCATCAGCTTCACTGTAGCCTGGAGACAAGCAGCCTCCTCTGACACGGTCCTCTTGGTCCTGTGGGAGCGTCCGTACACCACGGTGATCTTCAGGTTCCTGTTAGCTGGGTCTGTCTCCTGGCAGCCTGGGACAGCGCTGCTCCCCTCCCCGGTGCTGCAGCCTAATCCACTGGACCGGTCCTGACCACCCTGCCTGGAGCCACAGCTCAGCTCCACACCCCTTTGCTTGGGCGGGCGGCCGATCGGCCTCTTGGCCCTCTTCTCCAGCTGGGGGCCCAGCTTCTTGGGCCGTCCCGGACGTCTCTTCGGGGGGGTGGTTTCACGGATAGGCGGCGGGCCGTCTCCGTTCAGGGACCCGGGGGAGCGTTTGGGCGGGCTACCCCCCTCTCCTCCTCTCGCTCCACACAGCTTTGGTGATGACGATACGGTGTCCTTGGGTGGACTCCTGGTTTTGGGTGGACTCTTGGTCTGGAGGGGACTCTTGGTTTTAGGTGGATTGTGGGTCTTCTCTGGGGTCTTCTCCGGGGTTCCAGCCCATGATGACTCCTCACAGGGGTCAAAGGTCTCCTGTCCATACCAGCTGGATCCCGGTGCAGCCGCCTTCAGGGTGTACCTCACCCCCTCCTCACCCACTACTGCAGAGACAAACATCAGCTTGATGGGGCTGGTGTACTGAGGCTGCTCTGTGGGGACCTCACCCTCTGGCCTGGAGGCTGTCTGAGGGCTCTCTGGTTGGGACTGGGAGTCGGGGTCCTGACCCTGGGGTTGGGCTGGGGCGGAGCGTAAGCGCACGTAAGGTCTGGCAGCGCTGAGCCTGACGTCTGCCCTGTTCTGGGAGCGGTGTTTAGGGGGACTCTGCTGCTCGGAGGAAGCTGCAGTGACGGGAATCACCTGACCCCGTCTTTGTGACTCACTGTCTGAACTCTGACCTCCTGCTGTTGATCCACAGCCTCTGCCTCCCCTCCTCTCCCGACTGACAACCTCAGGAGTGGATGCCAGCAGTAATTCCTCTTCTCTTGCTTCGCCCGACCCCTCAGCCGTGTCTGTGGCCAAGGATGGGGAGTCTGTGTGATTGGTGGTGGGGGCATTTAGGCCGGTCCTTTGGCGTCCTCTGGGCGGAGAAGATTCTCTCTGAGAAACAGGCAGCGAAATACATCTTCCTGGGCTCTGTGACGTAGGAGGAGAACCGCTGGGGAGGGACGATGTTCCTCCTCCCGGACCTCCCAGCCTCGCTGCTCCTCTCCACCACCTTGCTGCTTCCTGGCTGGGATCTCCTGCCTCTCCTGGTTCTGCAGGGGGAGGAAGGGCTACTCCTGGCTGACACCCTGCTACTGTCCTTGCTGCAGCCTGCTGTTTCTGGTGTCTCCTCTTCCTCGCTACTCCTCTCAGGAAGACCACTGCCATGGTCACAGGCGCTGCCGGTACTACCTGGTTTCACCTCCTCTCTCCTCTTCTTCTCAGAGAGGTCACTCCTATTGCTTTCCTGACAGGTGACCTTCCAGCTGTCAGGTTTGTGTTTGTCCTCCTGTGGGTGACTCTGTTGTGTAGAGGAGAGGACTGGGGGTTTGTCCTTCGTCTCCTCCTTCACGCTGACTCTGTCCTTCGTAACTCTCACTGGACCTGCCTCCTCTGTCACCCTCTCCATCTCTCCCTCCTTCACCCTCTCCATCTCTCCCTCCTTCACCCTCTCCATCTCACCCTCCTTCACCCTCTCCATCTCTCCCTCCTTCACCCTCTCCATCTCTCTCTCCCTCACCCTCTCCATCTCTCCCTCCTTCACCCTCTCCATCTCTCCCTCCTTCACCCTCTCCATCTCTCCCTCCTTCACCCTCTCCATCTCTCCCTCCTTCACCCTCCCATCTCTCCATCTCTCCCCTCACCCTCTCTCTCTCCTCAACCCTCTCCATCTCTCCCTCCTCATCACCCTCTCCATCTCTCCCTCCTTCACCCTCTCCATCTCCCCTCCTTCACCCTCTCCATCTCTCCCTCCTTCAACCCCTCTTTCCATCTCTCTCCCCTTCCCCCCTCCTCTTTCTCCCCCCTTCACCCTCTCCATCTTTCCCCCCTTCACCCTTCTTCCATCTCTCCCCCTTCACCCCTCCATCTCTCCCCCTTCAACCTCTCCATCTCTCCCTCCTTCACCCTCTCCATCTCTCCTCCCTCCTTCACCCTCTCCATCTCTCCCTCCTTCACCCTCTCCATCTCTCCCTCCTTCACCCTCTCCATCTCTCCCTCCACCTCTGCTGTAACGAGGGTTGGTTCAGGTATAAAAGGGGTTGGTTCAGGTGAGGAGCAGGTAGAAGAGGGCGTGGCACTGCGGCTCTTGTTCTTCCCTAGCGACGGCCTCCTCCTGCACAGCGATTGGTTCAGCCTGGCCAGCTCCCGTTTGATTAGCACGGTCTGTCGCCGGGTGGACGGCTGGTCGGGCAAAGTCGTCATGGCAGCCAGGGCCTCCTGTCGCCGCCGGGAACGCGTCTGGGGTGGCCGGCTCTCGTTGTTGTCATGGCGATGCAACAGGTCGTTTAGGCTGTAGTCGCTGCCGCCACCCGTGTTCAGAACGGTGGTGATGATCTCACTCAGGTGGGCGTCGGCCTGAGACTCCGCTATGTGCTGATTGGCCGAGGTCGTCAGGTGGGGATCATTTTCTAGGTTGTGATTGGCTAAGGCAGAGCTGAGGGGCGGGTCCTTCTCCTGGGGTCTGATTGTCTTTAGTTTGTCACTGAAGCGCTCCACCAGGTCCTGTTGCTCCCCACTGCACCCCTCCTCCTCCTCCTCTTTCTCCTCCTCCTGCAGAAGAGAGGGAGGCTTGTCTTCCTCCTTCCCGTCCATGTCTGAGGGGATGGGGGAGAGAGGAGGAGGAGAGCGGCTGCGGGATCGCTCTCTCTTGAGGACAGGGCACTCGCTTCCTCCTCCTCCTCCCTGGGCTGTGGGTCTGACCGGGGCCAGGTAGGTGTGTTCTGGGCAGCAAGAGGTGCAGGATCGGGGGTTGGGGAGGGAGCGGGGCTGGGGGTTGGGGTGGGAGCAGGGCTGGGGGTTGGGGTGGGAGCAGGGCTGGGGGTTGGGGTGGGAGCAGGGCTGGGGGTTGGGGTGGGAGCAGGGCTGGGGGTTGGGGTGGGAGCAGGGCTGGGGGTTGGGGTGGGAGCAGCAGACAGAGGGGTTAGGGCACAGAGCGGAGGGGTTAGGGCACAGAGCGGAGGGGTTAGGGCACAGAGCGGAGGATGAAAGCGAGGGGGAGGAGGTGAAAGTGCAGAGAGAAGAGGATGTGGTGGAGGAGGAGGAGTGGACTCCAGTGGTAATGTGTCCCAGGGCTAGGCTCTGGCAACACAGGCAGTGGAGGCTCTTGAGGCAGTAACAGACTGGAGGCAGCCTGCAGCGCTGCACACAGCAACAGCCTGGACCAGCTGGTGTCTTCCAGTCAGTCTGCTGATGTGAGGCGCCAGCGGCACTATGGCTCCCACAGTCAGTAAAGGGGAAGGAAGGAGGAGGAGAGGAAGTGTCCTTCTGTTGTTTGGCCACCAGGTGGCCGCAGAGAGGGTCTGGGGGCGGGACGAGGCGGCGATGGGCGTCCCTGTAGGCCAATGATTGGCGGTGCTGCTGGTGGGCGAGCCTCAGGATTCGCTGGAGCAGAGAGCGGTGGGCGGGGCATAAAGAGGAGCGGACCGCCTCCAGAGCAGAGCTCCTCCCACTTGGGGCCTCAGGCATCCCAGCATCCTCTGCTTCCCTCTGGGGCTCATCGGTAACCATGGGCAACAGGGAGCTAGAGAGACAGGAAACATCTTGATTTATTAAAACTAACCACAAACTAAACAGAAGGACTCCTTCACATGAAGATTCATTACAGAACCGGTTTATTCATGAAGGCAGAGAAGGCTTGTAGCAACGCTCAAACCAACGCAGAACAGACGGTCAACAACACTAACCCACCAATCAACTAAAACACAAAACACTGGTGTATCATACAGGCAAATCAACTTCAGTTAGCAAGCAAATTCATCTCGACTATAAAACAAATACATGTATTTCTTTCCAAAAAAAAACATTAGTGAAACAAATGCGTTTTACTGGGACAGACGGGGAAGGTCGACACCATAGAGTTATCACATCATCGCCACGCCACTGCCGTGTTCCAGAACAGTCGATCACACAACTCTTATTTGATTCTAGAACTCTTAAGCCTGATCAGACAATCATTTCAACCTGACTATTGATCAATAACAGCGTTTTGCAGTGCTTAGCTTACTGATGGCCGTTATCAACAGACCACTAGTCTACTAGAGAGGTTCCCAAACTGTTGTGCTTTGTGACCCACCATCAGCTGAGCGATCATAAAACATAACCAGACCAATAATAAGGAAAGAATGTATGAATAAAACCCTCTTGTTAAAAATGTGTGATCAATTTTAAAATGTACTGTTGAATTCTACAATTATTTGTAACAATGCAGGGGGGGTTTTCTGGATCAAAAACGTGGTGGGTGCGTCAATGGGCGGTCGGTCGTCATCTTGGCAGTGGAGAGAATGTTGCCGTTTTAAAGCCAATTTCCTGCAATTCTACACACGTTGCCATGGAGACGAGAGGCTAATGCTGTGTTCTAATGCTGGAACATAACATCAATGGAGGCCTGATTTTGTCTAGCTTTTATTCAGGTGATTGTTAGTTCTCAAAGATAATAGGCTGTTGTTTAAATATCTAGGTCCATTATCTCTTCTACATACTTTGTATTTGGTCTTAGTCGTTTAAGTTTACACTGAAAGCGCTTTTCCATCCCCAAAATGTCATTTGTACATTTGTAAAACACAATTTTATATTTTGCAATAAAAAACAAAGACAAAAAAAGTAATCAAGCCCCGACCCACAAGTGGGCCCCGACCCACAGTTTGGGAACCACTGTATTAGCGTGCCAGCTTCTTCCCTGATTCAGTCAACAACATCACCTCCTAGTGGCCTAATGGGGCAAGTACTGGGTACAATAAATACATTATTAATTTAACATTTAAATCACCAACCCATGCATTTGGAACAGAACAACACATTTCACATTGTATCAAAGTGCCTCTTTACAGATCAATGTAACACAATCAAAAAAACATTTAAAATCACAAACCTGAAGCAACATGTAGAAGGAAAGATGGCCGAGCAGCCACTTAACGCTTCACTACAATTACAAAACATTTATGCATAAAATAACCAACTGATTTCTGTTAAAGTATTTTTTTTAAAGATCCAGTGCATTCGGAAAGTATTCAGACCCCTTGACTTTTTCCACATTGTTACATTACAGCCTTATTTCTAAAATTGATAAAATTGTCATTATGTGTGTAGATTGATAAGGGGGAAAAAAACAAAGTGAAAAACAGAGATATCACATTACATAAGTATTCAGACCCTTTACTCAGTACTTTGTTGAAGCACCTTTGGCAGCGATTACAGCCTTGAGTCTTCTTGGGTATGACGCTACAAGCTTGGCACAGCTGTATTTGGGGAGTTTCTCCAATTCTTCTCTGCAGATCCTCTCAAGCTCTGTCAGGTTGGATGGGGAGCGTCGCTGCACAGCTATTTTCAGGTCTCTCCAGAGATGTTCGATCGGGTTCAAGTCTGGGCTCTGGCTGGGCCACTCAAGGACATTCAGAGACTTGTCCCGAAGACACTCCTGCGTTATCTTGGCTGTGTGCTTAGGGTCGTTGTCCTGTTGGAAGGTGAACCTTCGCCCCAGTCTGAGGTCCTGAGCGCTCTGGAGCAGGTTTTCATCAAGGATCTCTCTGTACTTTGCTTCGTCAATCTTTGCCTCGATCCTGACTAGTCTCCCAGTCCCTGCCGCTGAAAAACATCCCCACAGCATGATGCTGCCACCACCATGCTCACGTAGGGATGGTGCAGTTTCCTCAGACATGACGCTTGGCATTCAGGCCAAGAGTTCAATCTTGGTTTCATCATTTACATTTTACCTTTAGTCATTTTAGCAGACGCTCTTATCCGAGCGACTTACAGAGCAAATTAGGGTAAAGTGCCTTGCTCAAGGGCCAATCCGACAGATTTTTCACCTGTCGCTCGGGATTAGAAACCAGCGACCTTTAGGTTATGGCACAACGCTCTTACCCATAAGCGGACCAGAGAATCTGTTTCACATGGTCTGAGAAGTTCTGTAGGTGCCTTTGGCAAACTCCAAGCGGGCTGTCACGTGCCTTTTACTGAGGAGTGGTCCGCCTGGCCACTCTACCGGTAAAGGCCTGATTGGTGGAGTGCTTGCAGAGATGGTTGCTCCTTCTGGATGGTTCTCCCATCTCCAACAGAGGAACTCATGGATCTCTGTCAGAGTGACCATAGGGTTCTTGGTCACCTCCCTGACCAAGGCCTTCTCCCCCGATTGCTCAGTTTGGCCGGGCGGCCAGCTCTAGGAAGAGTCTTGGTGGTTATTAACTTCTTCCATTTAAGAATGATGGAGACCACTGTGTTCTTGGAGACCTTCATTGCTGCAGAAATGTTTTGGTACCCTTCCCCAGATCTGTGCTTTGACAATCCTGTCTCGGAGCTCTACGGACAATTCCTTCGACCTCATGGCTTGGTTTTTGCTCTGACATTCACTGTCAACTGTGGGACCTTATATAGACAGGTGTGTGCCTTTCCAAATCATGTCCAATCAATTGAATTTACCACAGGTGGACTCCAATCAAGTTGTAGCAACATCTCAAGGATGATCAATGGAAACAGGATGCATCGGAGCTCAATTTCGAGTCTCATAGTAAAGGGTCTGAATACTTATGTAAATAAGGTATCTGTTTTTTATTTGTAATACATTTGCACAATAAAAATCTAAACCCGTTTTCGCTTTGTCATTATGAGGTATTGTATGTAGATTGCTGAGAAGAAAAAAATATTAGATACATTTTAGAATAAGGCTGTAACGTAACAAAATGTGTAAAAGGTCAAGGGGTCTGAATACTTTCCGAAGGCGCTGTATGTTGACAGTATAAAACAGGAAAACAAACCGATCAAAACCACCTGAAGATGTTTACAAGCAAGGCGGTTACCGGTATGAGGAGCGTAACCATGGTAATAACGCAAGAGAACCCAGTCTGAGTTTGGGTTCTGTCAACTACAATAGAACTTTGTTATCCATTCTCCATTATAGAACTGAAACTGATTTTTGCTGAACCTAATACTAAATACTTGTTTCACCAAAAAAGCTCTTAAAAATATATAATCCAGTCTGATCCTGATAAATGCAGCTATGTGAGACTGACCTGCCTGAAGGCCTGGTATAAAATATATAATCCAGTCTGCTCCTGATAAATGCAACTATGTGAGACTGACCCGAAGGCCTGGTAGATCCAGAGCATGAAGATATCCTGAGTTAGTAAGTAATAAGTAATGTAAAAGACTGGATTTGAATTGCACTTCGACTGAGTGTGCACTCACCAGGAGGGGAGGGGAGTGTCCCCAGAGAGTTGAGACTACACCGCCTAGCCGAGCGTCAGGCAGGTAGGTACAGAGCCATGTGATACAGTGTCCCCAATGGCACCCTATTCCCTATGTAGTGCACTACTTTTGACCAGCGCACCTGTCCTGCCAGATGGGCAAGTGCCTTTGAGAGCTTAAAAGTCCAATTGCAGCCGTTTATTTTTTTACTCTTATCAAATCATTTCTGGGTAACAAGTACCTTTACTGTGATTGATTGTTTTCAATTAAAAATGGTCAACATAAAAAAATAGCTTCTTAGCAAACAGAAATTTCTCAAGCAATAATTTGAATAGGACTGGCTGGGCGTGGTCTAAGTGGGGAGAGAGAAGTGAAAACTAGCTGTTATTGGCAGAGAGGTTTCGAACTCTCCTTCCTATTGGTCTAGCTGTGGCTAGCGACTGGAACGAGCTGCAAAAAACACTCAAACTGGACAGTTTTATCTCTTCATAGTTTTATCTCCAGAGTGGCTCAGTGGTCTAAGGCCGCTGCATCTCAGTGCTTGAGGCGTCACTACAGACCGAGTGGCTCAGTGGTCTAAGGCACTGCATCTCAGTGCTTTAGGCGTCACTACAGACCCCCTGGTTTGATTCCAGGCTGTATCACAACCGGCCGTGATTGGGAGTCCCATAGGGCGGCGCACAATTGGCCCAGCGTCGTCCGGGTTTGGCCGGTGTAGGCCGTCATTGTAAATAAGAATCTGTTCTTAACTGACTTGCCTCGTTAAATAAAGGTAAAATAAATACAAAATAAATTTACTAAATCCCCCCCCCAAAAAAAAACTCCATCCAAAACAGGCTGAAATTTCAGGAGGTCTTTTCAAACAGCTCTTACTCTAAAAGGGCATTAGCATAATTTTCACAGTATTATTCCAACCTCAGTGTGGAAATATATATATAAAAACACAGGAAAATCACATTTTTGACTGCACTGGGCCTTTAATGTCAATCCCTGAAAGGCCCTGGTCAAAAGTAATGTACAGTCTTCACCCCCCTTGACATTTGTCCTGTTTTGTTGCCTTACAACCTGGAATTAAAATGGATTTTTTGGGGGTTTGTATCATTTGATTTACAAAACATGCCTACCACTTTGAAGATAAAAAATATATTTTTTGGTGAAACAAACAAGAAATAAGACAAAAAAAACCCAGAACTTGAGCGTGCATAACTATTCACCCCCCCCCCCAAAGTCAATACTTTGTAGAGCCGCCTTTTGCAGCAATTACAGCTGCAAGTCTCTTGGGGTATGTCTCTATAAGCTTGGCACATCTAGCCACTGGGATTTTGCCCATTCTTCAAGGCA